ATGTCTTATCTCCGCGGGAAGTTATGTCGTTTTGGAACGTCATATCTCCGCGGGGAGCTATGTCGTTTTGGAACGTCATATCTCCGCGCGAAGCTATTATCCGAGATAATAAAAAAGTTTCGATTTTCGCACCGATTCCGTGGGGAGTTATGTCGTTTTGGAACGTCATATCTCCGCGGGGAGTTATGTCGTTTTGGAACGTCATACCTCCGCGCGGAGTTTTTTTTCGTTTTGGAATGTCATATCTCCGCGGGAAGTTATGTCGTTTTGGAACGTCATATCTCCGCGGGGAGTTATGTCGTTTTGGAACGTCATATCTCCACGGGGAGTTATGTCGTTTTGGAACGTCATACCTCCGCGCGGAATTATGTCGTTTTGGAACGTCGTACCTCCGCGCGGAGTTATGTCGTTTTGGAATGTCATATCTCCGTGGGAAGTTATGTCGTTTTGGAACGTCATATCTCCGCGGGGAGCTATGTCGTTTTGGAACGTCATATCTCCGCGCGAAGCTATTATCCGAGATAATAAAAAAGTTTCGATTTTCGCACCGACTCCGTGGGGAGTTATGTCGTTTTGGAACGTCATATCTCCGCGGGGAGTTATGTCGTTTTGGAACGTCATACCTCCGCGCGGAATTATGTCGTTTTGGAACGTCATACCTCCGCGCGGAGTTATGTCGTTTTGGAACTTCATATCTCCGCGGGGAGTTATGTCGTTTTGGAACGTCATACCTCCGCGCGGAATTATGTCGTTTTGGAATGTCATATCTCCGCGGGGAGTTATGTCGTTTTGGAACGTCATATCTCCGCGGGGAGCTATGTCGTTTTGGAACGTCATACCTCCGCGCGGAATTATGTCGTTTTGGAACGTCATACCTCCGCGCGGAGTTATGTCGTTTTGGAATGTTATATCTCCGCGGGAAGTTATGTCGTTTTGAAATGTCATATCTCCGCGGGGAGTTATGTCTTTTTGGAACGTCATACCTCCGCGCGGAGCTATGTCGTTTTGGAACGTCATACCTCCGCGCGGAGTTATGTCGTTTTGGAACGTCATATCTCCGCGGGGAGTTATGTCGTTTTGGAACGTCATATCTCCGCGGGAAGTTATGTCGTTTTGGAACGTCATATCTCCGCGGGAAGTTATGTCGTTTTGGAACGTCATACCTCCGCGCGGAATTATGTCGTTTTGGAACGTCATACCTCCGCGCGGAGTTATGTCGTTTTGGAACGTCATACCTCCGCGCGGAGTTATGTCGTTTTGGAACGTCATATCTCCGCGGGGAGTTATGTCGCTTTGGAACGTCATATCTCCGCGGGGAGTTATGTCGTTTTGGAACGTCATACCTCCGCGCGGAATTATGTCGTTTTGGAACGTCATACCTCCGCGCGGAGCTATGTCGTTTTGGAATGTCATACCTCCGCGGGAAGTTATGTCGTTTTGGAACGTCATATCTCCGCGGGGAGTTATGTCGTTTTGGAACGTCATACCTCCGCGCGGAGCTATGTCGTTTTGGAACGTCATACCTCCGCGCGGAGTTATGTCGTTATGGAATGTCATATCTCCGCGGGGAGTTATGTCGTTTTGGAACGTCACATCTCCGCGGGGAGTTATGTCGTTTTGGAACGTCGTATCTCCGCGCGGAATTATGTCGTTTTGGAACGTCATACCTCCGCGCGGAGTTATGTCGTTTTGGAATGTCATATCTCCGCGGGGAGCTATGTCGTTTTGGAACGTCATACCTCCGCGCGAAGTTATGTCGTTTTGGAATGTCATATCTCCGCGGGAAGTTATGTCGTCTTGGAACGTCATACCTCCGCGCGGAGTTATGTCGTTTTGGAACGTCATACCTCCGCGGGAAGTTATGTCGTTTTGGAACGTCATATCTCCGCGGGGAGTTATGTCGTTTTGGAACGTCATACCTCCGCGCGGAGTTATGTCGTTTTGGAATGTCATACCTCCGCGGGAAGTTATGTCGTTTTGGAACGTCATATCTCCGCGGGGAGTTATGTCGTTTTGGAACGTCATACCTCCGCGCGGAGCTATGTCGTTTTGGAACGTCATATCTCCGCGCGGAGCTATTATCCGAGATAATAAAAAAGTTTCGATTTTCGCACCGACCTCTATTAAAAAAAAAAAAAACGTGATGTTAACTCCTTGCTATTTTGTCGATTTGGGTCAAATTTTTTTTAACAAAACGATGTTTAATTTTCTTGAATGCCAATTGATGGTTGGGATCCGTACGCATTCAAAAAGGTATAATATTTTTAAATCAAACATTATTTACCCGAGATATTAAAAAAAAACATCGTAAAAGTTTCGATTTTCACACCGACTCCGCGGGGAGTTATGTCGTTTTGGAACGTCATATCTCCGCGCGAAGCTATGTCGTTTAAGTATTTGGAAATTTAAGTATTCATTTATCATTTATCTTAAGAGCGAATTTGATGGAAAAGATTTTTAAAATATTAATTTGAAGAAATACGTCAAGGAAAAACATATACTTTCTAATAAAACATAAAAAGTTTATCTCAATGTTTTTTTAACTAATTTATTTTTTATGCTATTTAAAAGTTTCAGGGTCTTCTCCGTTTGCATCAACCTGTCAGTAAAATGTTTCCCTTAACACTTTTGGAATATTATTTGTCAATTTTATCGCTAATAAAACATTAATTAACGTCTTACAATCAACGTCTTACAAACAAAAACAATTCGTTGATTATTGTGCAATTTCTGGAGTTAATTTCTCTAGTTTTACCAGCTCAGCCCAGTTGATTTATTTATAATTGAAATCATTTCATTTTCCCACGCTTAATGTGCATTATAAATGCAGCATTTGATTATTAATTTACCTGCATCCATTAAATATTTCGAGCGATTGGTTCAGGAGTGGGGGGATGGAGGAGCGCAGCGTAATTAAAGCACTTAATTATTTATATGTGTTGCCGCACAATTAAAACGCACTTTTAATCACTTTTCTGCACACGTTTAATTCAACTGAAAACTATCCATATATTAACTCTCTTTGCACTTTCCCAAGCTGTATTTTTGGCAATAATATGAGGGCTAAAACCAAAAACGCGACGTATTTCAATTGCTCAAAATGAGTTACGTTTGTCTGGCGTTTGTTTACCGAGGATTCGGAATTGTGGGAACTGTCTTCACTTGAGTTATGCTCAGTCGGCCTTTTGCCTTCTGCCTTTTGCTGGGGGAGCACTCAACGTTGGCGACCCTGTCAGCTGCGCGTGCGCGTTGCGAATGAAAGTGAAACCGCGGTGGATCGCGCATTTCGTTTTCTTTTCGATCGCTGGAGTCGATGCAGTCGAAGTCGCACTCGATGTAGATGTGGATGTGGATGTGGATGTGGCTGTGGATGTTGTTGAAGTTCGGGTTGTGGTTGTGTTGTTGTTGCTGTTGCGGCAGTTGCCGCTGTCGATCCTTAAACTGTAGCACCAAACTTGTCCATCCAGTGATTGCGCAAGCGCAGCTCTCCCTGCCTAGCGCCCTCTCTCTTTCTGTTTCTCGTGCGCTTGCTGCCGCCTTTGCAATGACATTTTTTTATGGCTTTCTACGGCAGCATTGACCCTGCCAAAAAGCGTATGCGGGAAAACTGTGCAACAGGTTTTTTGGCCTGGCCGCCGCTTTGGCCAATTGTGTGGAAAACACAACAGCAACAGCAACAATCATAAAGAAAAGCTACTCGGTAGTGAAAGCCCTTGTCATAGATATTTGCCAACCCGGCTTTTGCCCTTAGCTACTGTAACTTCAGTTGCGCCTCTTCAATTTTCTTGCTTTACTCTATTTTTTGGCTATTATCGCATATACTTATTACACCTGTGCTGTTATTTATGTTTATTGTTATATTTGTCTTTGATCACCTTCGTTTTTTCTGCTCGCATTGTTTTCTTTTTGCCATGTGCTTTTCACGATTTGTTTTACAATTTCCATTAAATTTTAATGAGCTGCATTCGACGGATTTTGTTGCTTTTATTGTCAGGCATTTGACGTCTGGAGCTGATTGATTCATGTGCCGTTCGTTTGATATTAGTGGAGGGGGGAGGGGGGAGGGGGGAGGCTGCTTTTGCACCTGAATGACGCACCCGGCGGACAACCGTAACATGCGTATTTTAACTGATTTATGAAAATTGCCCAGCTTTTCTATAATATATGCCTTGCGGTGATTCGCTTCATTTATTGCATATCCAAAGATTGCTTTTTCATATCAAGTACAGATTTATGAAAATATTTTATTTATTAAATTTCTAATGTGGACTGACAGCTAAAAAATATTCCGGCTTCAAATAACAAGTAACAAATACTATAATTTTTGTTGCAAACTAAAAAACATAGTTACTTTACTAAATAATAATATTAATATCAAATATAATCATAATGCTCTATTTTTATACCCTGAACCCATTAAAAATGGGTATGAGGGTATTTTGTATTTGTGCAAAATTCAAATGTATGTAACAGGCAAAAGAAACATACAGAACAGAACATATAAGCGCTATAGACTTGAAGTTTTAGATGTAGGTGCTCCTAGTGCCTGCGCAGATTGAGCTTGTTTCCGATAATCGATAACTTACTCCGTTTCCAAGCAATCGATAAAAATCGATTTTTCGGAAATTTTGGTAAATAATAAGAGCTAGAGTCACGAAACAGGATACGTTGCTTCTAAAATAGAATATATATATGCATTTGATGTTGGAAGAAGAGGGTTCAGGGTATCCTCTAGTCGGGAGCTCCCGACTAGAACCTCTTACTTGTTTATAATGCATTCATTGAATATTTCTAACAGCTCTTGTTATACTTTCCCCGATTTTTGTAACATTTATTTGAATACTGTTGCAAAACTAAAAAGACATTTAATTCAATAATATTAATACGAATTAAACTATCTCAAGTTTTTATTGTACAATAAAAACTATCATACTCTAGTTTTTATTGTACTTTCATATAAAGTTTATTTAGTTTTTATGTAATTAAAGTTCAACGCTTGCTCGCTTAACTTTCTGATCTTTATGGAGTCTACTTATCTAATGCATCTCATTAGCGTCGGCTGGTGTGTGCGCTGAGAATGTTGCATGCACCATGAGCACATGCCACTTGAGCAATTATTATTTGCAGCAATTTTGGCTTTCACCAATTCGCTGTGCTTGGTGTCATTTGGATGGGGTTTCCTCTCGTCTTCCGCACAACCAAATGCGTGGCCAGATTAAAAGTCGCAGTGTGTGTGCGTGTTTGTATGTGTGCAAGACAATTATGATTAAAGACCGAGAGACTGGGATACTGAGATTATGTAACTAAGCCAGGCGAGCAAGCTGCATGCCAAGAGACTTGCATGGTTTAGTCAAAGGAAATGCGACTCATAAATTGCACAGGCCACGCCCCGCGCTGCCACGTCGCCTGCTCCACTTGGCCAACTTGGATGTTGATGGCTAATTTGCGCAGTCTCAGCATTTGGCAAAATTGTAACAAAAGTCAACTTTGAGTAGCTGCTTCTGCAATAGTTGTTGTTGTTGTTTATGCTGCTGGCTGACAATCAACTTCCTTCCTTATGGTCAAACTTGTTGCTGGGAAACCAAAAACCAAATCGGTACAAATTGTCGAGGAAATCATTGAAATGCCTTTGCCGCAGCTTATTAATGTAAAAGCCCTGGGAAAGCTCCGGAAAATCTATTAAAATCATTTTATTTAATTTCATTTCTGGTATTTACTTATTGTATTCCCGAAAAGCGCATCGAAGTGTAATGGCCAACCGGCCAGTCGGTTCCGCCTCACCTCGCCTCGCCAGGCCACACCCTGCCACGCCCCACCCCGCCCATCTTCCGTGCTAATTAAGTGCGCAGGGCAAATAAAATGAGCCAAAAGGTAATTACAATGAATGGGCGGTGGCGGTGGCGACTGGCGACTCGAACCAAAAGCCAATTTTATGCAACAATCAATCAAAAACCATTTTTAATTTTGCGTTAACAATTTTTGTACTCGTATTTCATGCATTCAGCCAGCGTTGCCTTTTTTTTCCAATATTTTTTCAATTTTTTTTTTCCTTTTCTTTCTTTTTTTTTATTGGCCCGTTGTTGGCGATTTTGCCGCGTCGCTCGTTTAACTGTGTGAAGTAAATTGGAAAATAAAGTTAAAATTAAAATGCATTAATTGAACTGTGAAATTTCATAAAAGTGTATGAAAAATTATTTGTGCGTACGCCAATGAGCAGATGATGAAGAAGAAGCAGCAGCAATGAATTAATTGTCAGCGTTTTAAGCGCGCTTAAAGTCGCGCCGCCCAAAGGGTCGCCATCTGAACTTAATAAATTTGCTCCAATAAAAGTGCGGATAATGAAAAGTGCTTGAAAAACAGAAATTGTATAACCAGCCTAAAGGCGGGATTGAGTGCAACGGGCAATGTAATTAAGTATAAATGATTCTATAAATTAATTGCTTAAAGTACGCGAAGAAAAGAATTTCATTATTTCATTAAATCGACCGAGCAATATTTATATATGTTAACATTTTATTTTAATAAATACTATTGCATTCCTGTCCTTATTATGTCAAAAGTTAACTATAAAAAATCATAGCACATTCTTTCCGGATAAACGTTTATTTAATACATTTATCGATTCGTATTTTATATTTTCTTCTTCAGTTATGATTAATCTCAATTGATTGATGAAAAGTTAGTGCAAAGCTTAGCAAATGTAAATGGAATTTATGTGTAATGATTAAATTGATTTATTCATGCACATATGCAAATAAAATCCTTTCAAGTGCATTTACCTGATTTCTGTCCTCGCTCACATTTGTTAATCAGCACTCATTAACATGAATATTATGAGTGATTACTCATTATTCAAAAATGTACCGCATAGATGTGCGTGCACATATATATAATAGACTAATAGATATAATAGACAGTGGCCGGTAGCCACTTCCCATGCTGGCCAAGTTGGGCGATTTCACCATAAGCAACTAATTGCGATAACTTCATCAAAATTGGCACCGCAACAGAAGGCGGCAGACTGAGCAACAGGCACGCCTTATAGTAGCGCAATCGACAATTACGAATGGTATGATTCAATTGGTTGATTCACTTTTAGCTGAAACGCACCAAAACTATTTATTTTATTGAATATATGGATGTATACATAAAATTGTGGCTTTTTTGTTGGTAATCCTGTTCAGCTTGGTTCCTCCTGTGGGGCATCATATCATAAGCAAATGAAAGATTTGAGCAGCGGCGCCAGTTGGCGACTGGGCAGCCGGTTTGTGGCTATGGTCATGACAACAATTAAAAAGAAATGCGCACAGCAATGTCAATTGGCAATTGCGGATATTTGCGGTGCTCCAATGTGTAATCACCTCCCCAGCCCGCTCGAGTGGTAATACCCTCGGCCACACATTGCTGCGGTGCACCTTTCGCTGGCTTGGCGCTTGGCGCGTGCGTCGACATTAGCGCTAGTTGTCGCTTGGCATCTTGGCCAGATTTGTATCGCCAGGGCCATTACGAGTTTATTCCACTCCAAAAAGGAATGTCAATTGGTCGTTGCCAGCCGAATCGATAGACTGTGCACTTGGCATGAACAAGAGCGGGGCCGATACGGTACGCCCCCGCTGCACTGAATCGCGCACAGCTCGTGTAATCTGGCGCCTTGGCTATTTGGCCGTCATTAGCGCCGCAAAGTGGCAAACCGGCTAACCCCACCGCCCAGCCGCCTGCCTAGCAGCCAGGTTGCTTGGCTGTCGTCGTTATCATTGCCACTGAATGCTGATGTTGTCAGCAAACAGGTTGGCCAACTCTTTAGGCCAAAAAGTATAGCAGCAGCCGCCGCTACCACCGCCGCCACATGGCCATATCGCCATTGACCATGCCGTCCTGCGGTGTCGTTGTACTTTTGACTTCCAAGTAATAAACCTGACCAACAATAACAACAACAACGACAACCACGCTGCCAGACGCAGCGGCAGTCCATATTGACAACTCATTGGGCCAATGTACGAAATGAAAACCGGAATCTCTCGTATTGCCCCAAAGCGTCCTCAAAGCGTCTCCGCGCTCGCCTGCCCCTCTACAGCAAAATTAGCTGCGGCCTTTCCCTTTCGTTGGCCACATCAGCGGGGTGCAGCCTTTTTGATTCATATTGAAGCAATTGGATGCTGCTGCATGTTGCAAGCGCATTTGCAATCTTTCCTAAATCTCATTACGAATTCAGGTTGCACGTACGTTGCCAATTGTTACGCATACACTACCCGAAGAGGTCAGGCCATATTATTGATTGAATTTGAATTTTCCGACAAGCAAATGTGAAAGGAAAATATCTGTGGCATGCTGTTGTTAAGCGATTCTCGCCAACAAAGGGATCGTTTAAAAACTGGATCCGCTTGGTATTAAGTTTATGGTCAGGACAGTGACATCTAGAATTTCCAGTCTATTTTGTAGAGTTTTACGAGTAGAACAGACATATCATTTTAGGATCACATTAATTTAGCCGAGTTATGAAATTCAAAATTGTAAAATTAGTGAAATTAGAATATCTCGGGTATAATTTTGAACTGGCAAGTTTTCAGCTCAAGAAGGGCACTTAAAAATGACGATTCAGAACATATAGATTGGAGTCGGTTCTCAAGTTAAGCACTTTCGGTTTTAATGTATTTTACAGAAGTTCACGAGCTCCAAATTATTTATTTCTTATGATCGGACGTCATTTAGCCGAGCTATATTCATTTAAAGCCCCGAAAACTTCCACTTCCGGTCTTTTCCATTGGTTGAACGCTGTTCGCCTCCACAAGAAACCTTAGTAGAAATTATTTATTTTGCATTTTTATTTTTAAATTTATTTCATGTTCATTTTGTGTTTTTTTTTTTTTTTGCTGTCATTTGTTTTGGTTTTGCTTTGCTTTTACTTTTTACTTTATGCTAAATTGGCTATTTTGTCTGTTGCTTTGTCTCTTAAACTTGTAAATTTTTGCGATCTCTTCCTATTGCAACTTTATCTGGCTTAAATTTAACAGTTATTTGTTGGCCCTGCTGTTGACCCATTGCAATGCAATTGATTTCTGGGGCAGGGTCCGAGCTTTATTTTTTTATATATATTTATGCTGGTGCGCCTTTTGATTTCATGTTTTGCTCTCTTCCCCCCTGTAGGGTAGCTCTGACCCAGTAATTCTTTAGTAGTTATTCGTATTCGTACTGCTAAAAATTTGTTTTGGTGGTTGTTACTTTTATCTTGGGCCTATGACTTAAACCTTTGCTTATTGTATTTCGTATTCTTGTATTTTCGTATGCATATTTCATGTTTATCGTTTTTTTTTTTTGTTTTTCAACACATTTTCTTTGCACTACAAATGAACTGACTTTTGTTTGAAGTTTCTATTATATATTCTGTAATATTTAAAAATTAATTTGCCACATAATGTATTTTGTTTCGCTTAAGAACTAAGTGTTACGGTATTATATGTATTTTTTTTTTGTATTTATAAATAATATTTTGTAAATATTATTATAATAATTAATCATATAATAAATACAATATGCATTTGACCACTCTTTGTAATATATATTCATATATATTTATATGTATGTATATAATACCATAATTTCCATTTGTTAATAATTAATTTTGTTAGTTAACATGACGACGTGTTTGTTTTTGCTTTGTTAATACAATTTGCAATTTTCGTTTATAAAAACCAAAAAAACCCTCTCTTAACTCAATTTTACATGGCACACATACAGTTAGGCTATCCATACATAAGTACATATCCATCTATGCATGTTGGCATATTTCTAATTAAATTTCAAATTATATTTTTTACAATGCTTGAAACGCTTTTAACTTGTAATTGTTGTTGCTGTTGTTTTTGTTGTTGTTTGTGTTCGCTGAATTCTTGGAACTCTGCGTAAATGTTTGCGTTTGCAATCTGAATTTTGCTTAAATTGGCGTTAGGTTCTTCTAAGTAATTCTTGTTGATTTTTACATTGATCTCTTAAAATGTAGTAGTACTTTATATGGCGCATACAATACATATGTCTATATAGCTAAGATGTTATATGAAATAAATTACAAAAGCTTTGGCTTTATACACAAAAAACAGCGCGCTAATAATGTTTTTAGCTCTACTTTGGGTTGTTGAAAATACTTATTTTACAATAGCGCAAAGCTTTGCTATATTACATTTAAATATTTGGGTTTTTTTTGTGTTTATAATATTTTTATATTATTTAGTTTCGCACTATTCAAATTGCTGCTACATGTGCCATACTATTTTTGGTGGCTTCTTAATTTCAAACAACATTTAACACCTGCTATATAATATTGTTCTGTATTTTTGTATTTTCTGTGCTTAATTTTAGTTATTTACTTTTTATTTTGTATATTATTTTTTGAGCAATTCGCTACTTGAACATTTATGTACATTTTTGTATATTTTGTGTGGAGGGTTTTATTATTTTATTTTTTTTTTCGAACAAATATTTGTATTTGTTTGGAATTCTTAAATTTATTTCAAAAATATGCAAGAGTTTTTGGTCCTTGTAAATTATTGTAACTTAAAGTCCCGATAAATAAAGTAAGTAATTAAAAATTGATTTAGTTCAATACAAAAATCAATTATTTCAAATAAATTTGTGTATTTTTATTATTTAATTTCATCTTTAAATTAGGTGTACAAATAAAATTAAAATTTAACTTTACCTTTCGTAAAATTGTACAATTTATGCTTTATCAGCTGGACTAAACATAATACTTTTAATTAATTTTTCAAGATTTTAATTGATTTATTTATAAATTATGCTCTCTTTAATTCTCAAAATATTTTACAGCTTGTTTATATACTTATTTTTTGCCTATTCGAATGCGCAAAAATTCAAATGGAAGGAATTTGTTCGTGCTTGGTAAGTTACTTGCTTTTCATTTACATTAAAGTATAGTATTTAACTTTGTTTTTTTAAGCACTCTCTTTCTGCTTCACTCTAACACTAATTGCCTCAAAATATTTAACAAAATCAGTCACTTTGCAAGTTACTCGCTTATTTTTCGAAAAGGAACTTAAAGTACAATAATTATGTATGTCTCAACTTTTAACAATAGGTAAACGCAAAAATGTACTTTCTTTTTACTTTTCTCTTTAATATTTTACTTTAATTTAGTTTTTCTTCTATTTGGCATTCAAGGTAAGCGCTGCTACTAAGTACTACACACATACACACACAGTTACAGTTACAAGTACATACTTACGACTACAGTAAAAATATTGAGTATGAGTTTTTTTAGTGGGGGATGTGGCTAATGCTTAGCTAAAAAGTTCAAGTTGCCAACTTAGATGCCTACTAAATGTATGTCCTTAGGGGGAGGGTCGTGGGGGTTTTAGCTTAGGTTTTAAAGTGGCATAATTTCGTTTTGATGCTTTTGCTAATTGGTTACAAGTACACATACACATAGCTTTAGAGTAGTAGTAGTAGTAGTAGTAGTAGTAGTAGTAGTTGTAGGCAATAGCATATAGTAGTACATATGTTATATATAGTGGATATATATGTATATATGCGCTTAGATATAGTGGGTAGTATGTAGTACATAGCATAATAAATTGCAAGAGTTAATAGTCAGCATTCTCTCTCTCTCTCTCTCTCTCTCTCTTTCATTCACACACTCACACACAATCGGACTCTCTCGCTCTCTGTAGCGCCTTTTGACTTGTTCACATGCACTCTTAAAGTTAATGAGAATGCAACAGCGTTGCGCCCAGGAGAGTTATTGCCAGGGCTAGCTCCAAGCTCCGCCCGCTCGAAGTGTTATTGCTAAAGACCGGAAAGTGTATTTGCTCGGGTCGATTAAGTTCCTCCTCCTCATCGTCGTCGATAGTGTTGGACATCTGGCGGTGGCGCTTCGTAAAGTTAACATTGAACACGGCCTCGGCAACGCCACCTGGAGACGAGACGATAAAGTAGAAAGTACGCGGCACACGCTCGTGCATGCTGACATAGGTGAGCCGCGCCTCCTTGCAGTAGGGCGTTGGCAGATCCTAGCAAAAAAAACATATATATATATATTAATGCATAAGAGTCCTAACAGTTTCGGCTCCATTTACATACCTTGACCGAGTAGGCCAGTACGGTGCTGCCATATTGATTGCCCGGCGTGAAGACGCGATCGCCGTGCAACCAGCGTGCCGCATGCGCCGGCGGATTGGCACAGAACTCTACATTAAGGTGCAAGGGTGAGCCCGGATAAGCAACGGGCGTGGCATTCAAAGCAACCACTGTGGGCGCACCTGCATGGATAGAGAAGGAGTGGAAGAAAGTTGGGTAAGTTACAGTTTAATTATTATGTTTTCATTACACAATTCTAATGCGCTTCGTTATTAACTTTTCGAATTTCTTGAGTGTCATTTGCTATTTGCCGACCGCTAAAGTTCGCTTGGCAAACTAACATAAACTTCCAATGCCACACTTCACAGTTGCTAAGCCAACTCGTACGCAACTGTACTTTAGCTAAGCCAGCTATAAACACAACTGTACCCCGGCGCATCAGCTGAGACTAAGGGTGCTTCGAAAAGTTTAGTGGCAACGCCATCGCCACTAATTAAAAGCGTATCACGAATAAAATGAGCCGCTTAGCCAGTGTTGCGCAACTTGCGCAGAGAAATCAAAATAAATAGAGAACAACATGTCGTCGAGCGGAAAGTTTTTAAGAACGGCGAAACTTCATTAAAAAGTTTTTCGGCAAAAGCAAGCGAAACGAAATTTGTGTGGAACTTATGTGGGTCAAATGTTGAGAGTTGGGTTTCTGATGTGACGGCGTTAGCCAACACTGTAACAATCCAATTAGACACATGTGCACCGCTCCGCTGCTGCACAATCGCTGAGCATATTTAATTATCGAAAGGCACGAAAATTTTGCAATTTTCCTCATCATTGCTCTCGGCAGACATAGACGGGGGAGGGTGTGGGAGAACCGTTCACCAAATAAACTTGAGCACTTTATTTACCACGGCAACAATGGCGGCTGGGCAAACAAAATGGCCAAAAGTGTTAAGTGCAAATGAGTGTACGACGGGGTTGCCATCACCCATCACCCATCACCCATTAACCAGCTACCAACTCCCAGTTCCCAGCAGACACAAACAAAAACAAATCGAAGCACCCATCGACACTTTCCAAATTTATAACTCGAAAATTCTACTCTCGAGCCCCCGCCCCGAGTGACTAACTGTAAAATCAATTAAACCAAGTGAATGATCACCGCCAGGGTTGTGTGTGCCTAAATAAGGATGAGGCTGCTAAATTATGCGTTCAGCGCCATTTTGTAGCCACTGTCGCAATATGCGCAGGCAGCTGACAACCCTACCCGCTGGTTAAAAAGAAATGTAATTTATTTGACAGCTAAAACTGATTTCAGTATGCCCAAAAAGCCCGCCCCGCGCTCAAAGAGATTTACATTTTATTTTGATTTGCAGTCACTGAGCCGTGTGGCAGCATTTTACCCTCGGCTCAGGTGGCAACTCCGTTGGGGGTATGGCCCCAGGGTCAGCGCCTGGTCATTGGTGCGATTTTTAATTTGATTTAAGCGCTAGGCGCTAAATGAAATGAGTTTTGAGATTTTCGGCTTGGGAGAGGAGTGTACAAAATTAAAAATACGATACAGACTAATATGTTATTTAAGATAAGAGATTAGGGGAAGATTGGTTAAGGTGCGGAAACTTAATAGAAGAAATATAATTTATATGTTTTATAATACATTTTTTATAACTATTTTAATGGCGTATATAATTCTTTTATATACTTTTTAATTAATATAGTTTAATAATATTTCTGTCACAGCTAACCATAAGAAAGTAAATGTTATGCTTGGAAGTTTATTATTCCTTCAGATATTAACAGGGGCATCTAGTTCAGATTTTTTGTTAACATTAAAAATGTTATTACTTGCTTGTAATTTATAAAGACGACGTCCTATTAGTTTTTGCCAGTTTCCAAACTTTAGCTAGCTGCCTGGCTCTTCATTAATGCAATTAGGAAGCGCTTTAGTTCATTGCCTGGCCTCAGCATCGGAGTGTCCGTTGGGGCAGACGGCGCCTCCTTTCGTTTTCACAATGCAATTTGCATGTTCTTACCTACTTTTGAGGCGTGCAACTTCTTGGGCACTCCCACCCCATTACCTACGCCCAAACGGACAACATTTACAAGTAGAGTAAAATTAACATTTCAACAATAACAACAAGTTGGCGTGTACTACAATTGGTGCAGCGGCACAACAACAATAACAATGAGAGGCAGCCCTGGCCCCAAAATAATAATAAAGTTTTACAGCTGAAAATTACTCAATTCCCGTTGCTTGAAAAAGTTAACTTAATTTTTGCAGTTGCCTTTTGTGAGCAAAGTTTTCTCCAAAGAGGTGCAGTAGCAACAACAACTGCAGAAACGTTTTGCAACACTTTGGCGGCCCGGTCGCCCAAGTGGGCAGACAATGGACCAGGCAGCGCAAAATGACAGGGTTGCAAAAGTTGTCGAAGGCCAAGGGGGGTGCCAGCAACTCGAGGGGCTGCGGGGCAATGCGCGCCCAATTGATTGCACGTCGCAGAAGTTTTTTTTTTTTTGCATAAAGTGCGTGGGTGGACGACAGACGTGGCGAATAAGCGACCAGTGCTGGAAAACGCACTCGAGTCTTTTGGGCGCCGAAAAAATAATAATGACCGAAAATAATTGAATTTTCGCATTCATTCGCGTGTTGCAATTACTTTGTCAGCCGCGCCCGAAATTCAACCTCTCTGTCTACGCTGCTTTTCTCTCGCTCTCTCTTTCTCTCTTTTTTCCCGTGCTGGCTTGTTGTTTGGCCATCGTGTTGCATCAGTTTTTTGCCCTGTTATTGTTTTACTATCACCGCTTCGCACTTTTCCCCTTTGATTATGGTGCGCTATGTGCGAAAATTGTGATTTTCCCAATTTTTCGTTGCCTTCAGTTACTGTTGCGCTTTCTTCAGTCAAAGTTCTTGATGCGCGAGAAGCCTTTCACGAATGCTGTGTTAAAATGCTTGTTAATTGGAGAGTGTGTGGTGAACTTTAGCAAATACTGGTTGAAAGGAATAAGGAATTTTTTGCTAAACGATCTTTAGCTATGAACAGCAAATAAATATATTCAATATATTCATTTTATATTATTAATTTTACCTACAAATAAATTTTTATCCATTTCGATGCGATTCTCTTAAACGGATACATCTTCAAATATAAGTGAATATTTATATTTAGTAATAAAGTTACTTTGAATTTGAATCTGAGAGTTTTCTAATATAGTATTTTAATAAAATAAAAGAAAAGTCGTGTCTTATTATTTTAATGAACATTGCCAAATTATGAAGTACATACTTAAGACTTTCAAAGCACCTTTTACGATTTGAAACAACGTTCACGACAAATCGTTAACATAATTCGTGTTCAGATTAACAATACTTTGTAGCACACACACCCGGACACCCGCACACACACAGAGAGTGGTGCAACCAAATGGCAAGTTTGTTGGTAGAGCTCGTTGGGTGAACCACCCGGTGAGGAGCTCTTTCGGCGTTGGCTCATTAATTTTTAAGCAGTTGGCGCTTAGGTGCGAAAAAGTTGGCAAACTTAAGATAAATCTGGAACGCGTTTGAAAGCGGTCGACGGTTTGGTTTTGTTTTGCTTTGTTTCGGGCTACTTGTCAATGGGGTTAATCCATAATTCAAGGCCAACGACAATTCAATTAAAATCGCCCCAAGGTGGGCAGCACAAATGAGAGGACGCGACAAATGGCTAACTAAATCCCTTTTTGATTGTCAAAGCATCGCACGTAATTTCAATTCGCACTGACTGGCAAGTGGCAAGCGGCAAGAGGGATGTAGCAAGTAGCATTTTTGCTAATTTTATTTGCCACTTTTTGCATTAAGTGCACACAATGTTTATAAATTATTTAAAAGCGAAACAATGCAGGGGGTGTGGAGCGGGCGGTAGGCAGCCAGGGCAAATGCCTCTGGCCAGACAACTAAGTGAGCCCCGCTGCACCTCGGGGCAACTATTGCATAATTGAATATTATGATTGTTATTTTCACTTGCTGGCTCTCGGATTGGCTGTTATTTCAGTATTTCACTCTCTCTCTCGCTTTCAGCATAAATGTTTATGCATGTGAGTGTGCTTTTCATATCTAAAAGCGTTTTTGCTGCCACACAGCCCGTCCGAGTTTTCATGGCCCAGACTGCGGCCCCAGGGGCATGTTTTCCAGTTGTTTATATCTTTAAGCAGCGCTCACCTGTAATTGTCTGTTTTGTTCTGTTGTTTTTTATTTTCTCTTGTTTTTATAACGTTTTTTTGTTGTTGGCTGGAAAAGCTCTTGGCCCTCTATTCTTTGGCAGCTTGAACTTCCATGTGTCTGTCTTGACACCCAAGGGAAACTGAAACTAAGCAACACTGGCTGCCAACTGCGCTCACTTTTTCAGTTGCTTCATAAGAAAATATAGAAGCAATTGCTAGCTCTTTTGGGAATTGTAATAAATGGCGTGTAGTTAATAATTACATAGAGTAGAACTAAATTAATGCTTCTGTTCTTAGTTTGTTGTTCATTTTGTTTGCAGCATCAACATTTTCAATATACTACCTTTAAAAATTATTTAGTATTGAAAGCGATTTAATTACCATTTTAATATTTGCAATGTTTTTCTCGCGTTTTAATTTAAAAATGAATGTTTCTTTGAACTACAAATATATCTTTTATGTATATTATTATATTTTAATTATTATTAATATCATTGCTATTATTTATATTTAATTTAGTTGTTTTATAAATGATTTCGTATTATAAAAAAAGATATTATTATTTTCATTATATTTATTGAATTATAAATGGTAACTTGATGTTTCTGTTGGATATACGAATGAACTTCGTGTTTTGGTTACGGTTTATTTCGTTTATTTAAATTAAAAACAAGCTATTTACAGTAAAAACATTCCAACTTCGATAACCGCTCGAGGATGTGTTAGGAACCAGGTTTATGCTCATATTTTGATTACCACAAATTTTTGTTGGTTAGCATATATATTTTGCAAACATCACTTAAAAGTTTTGAGGTCTCACTTTCGTGTTATTAGAAGTGAACAAATATAAAAAAAAAAGAAGAGAAAAACATTTATTAAATTTTCAAGTGGCAGCAAGGTAAAAAGTTGCATCTTGTAAACTACACACATACACACACAAACACACGCAAACACACACAGAACACACGCAACACAACCAACGAAACTTTAAATGGCACATGTGAAGCGATTTTTGGCAACTTGTGCAATTTGCATTGCACGTATTGTAGGTACGAGGAGGCAGATCGAGGGTTGCTGCTGGGGCTGCTTCATTCAAAGTTTAGTTTTGATGCAAACGCAAACTTTGCGGTGCGACAAGCCAAACCAAGCCAAGGCAAGCCAAACCAAGCCAAGGCAAGGCATGGCAAGGCATGGCAAGGCAACCCGAGCACGAGTATCTACGTATCTACTAGTTGCAATCTCGACTGCTCGCTGCCAGGCAAAAGTTGCCATCCACTCATTTGATATTGAAAGTGAAAGAGCATATTTAAATATACTACAAAAACGGCAGCAACGTCTAACTGTATGCTGTAACATGTGAGCTTAATTTGTGTTGACAACGCCAAATGGGGCCAGCGTGGGTTCAGAAGGGGTGCAAGGTGAAATGTTTCTACATCCGTTTCTGCTATAGAAATGCGCTTTGTAAATTTTCAAGATTTGGGTTAGAGATATTTACACACAAATACCCACACACACTCTTTCACACACAAAACATACAGAGAGCTAAATATATATTCGTATGCTGATCCAAGCAGCGTGCGATGTTCTTATTAGACAAGTTTGTCACTTTTTTTGCACTCATTGCACTTTACCTTAGCCATTTGATTGCCCCGCAGCTGCCGTGTCTCCTCCTCGGCTCTATCTGGGACTTGCTTGACTGTTTCTAAGGTCACCACAAAATGCCGTTGGCTTTAGTTCCTTTTGGGCATATTTAATAGCCTAGTTTGTGAATGTATGCAATTGGCTTAAAGCGTTAAATTTGACTCTAACTACAAAGCACTTTGACAGTTGCAATTTTAGATAGCTCAACATCGAATTCAGTTCTTAGTTTTTCAGCTTTTTAAATTTATCTGCAAAAAAATATTTAAATAGTAAACGCACATAAACGGACAAAAAGACAAATACCTGTTGGATATCTTTGGATTATTTTATTCAGATACAGACTTTACTTCGGAACTTTATACTAGATTTCTCAAGGTTATAAAAGTTATTTAAATGCTTGTCATATAAACAATTTTAATTGGCAAATTCTAAATCCAAAATAAATCAAACTGTATAAAGTTCGAGGCGATGTGCATATTGTTTTTTTAATTTTATGCGTAACATAAGATATTTTTTTAAAATAGACTAGTTGGCTGAAACTCTGTTGGGTATAAGGTGCGATTAAATTGCAAGAAATTAATCCACTCGAGGATAAAACTTTGTTGTTAAAGAATCAATTTGATGACAAAAGTGTTGTTAAAGTAAATATAAACAGAAAGCAGACTCGCCCATGAAATCGCGTAAGCAACAAGAGCAATCAACTAACCACAGGCGCGCTGCAAAGCGAACAGTTCGCTGGACATGTTGCATATAAACCTGACGCCATCAAATGTTGAAAGGTGGGCGAGGCTAGGCCCCTAGAAGTGCACCTCATCAAATTTGCGGTGAATGGATGAGGGTGTGAACCGTGCGGTCGGCAGACAACCAATCAGATACACACACACGCACACACGCACACAGTCCTGTATGTGTGGATGTGTGTGTGTGTGGGTGTCCAGCCTATGTTTTATAGCCTGACATTTGACATTTTTATTAGCTTTGCGGCGGCGGCGTTTAATTACTTTACGCGCTGTGTACAACGGCAACCATTTTAATGCATTATCTACTCTGGACTGGATCGTTGTGGGTGCCAGTGAGAGGACATCGAAAAGGACAACGACAACTGGCACTCGACTGCAGCGAAATGCAATTAAAATATGCATTTGAATTTTATTGCATAGCCTTAGGCGCACCAAAAATGGCAAATTTTATGCGTGAGCAGCTCATTAAACGGCATTTGCAAAAGGGTGCCGGGTCAGCGGTTGCTAAATGGAAATTTTGGCCATAAAACTGTAAAATCGCTGATAAGCTTTATTAAACTTAACTGCTGCTTTATTCTAGCTTTTCCATGTTTCCATGTTTCGGTGCAAGTTTAATCGCTTGAGTTCAACCCGCAACACGGCGACTTAAAGAAACTTACAAAGATTTGTTGAAATTTGCTTGCGCTTTGTCTGATTCGGTTAGCTTATTTATTTATGAGCAAGCGGGAGTCTTGGCTTATTTATTTTTCAAACTGATTCATAAAGTATTTTGGGTTTGTTACAACAACATTTGGCTCTCGTCATTGTCTATACAATAATTTGTAATGACGTCTCGTCACCTTTTGTTTTATTTATTTATTAATAAAATTATTCCAAAAATACATGATAGAAAAAACAGCCCGTGTATACGTATTTAAATGCGAAGAAGTAAATGATTCATTCATTAGAATGTATAAACAGATTCAGAAGACTTCTTAAATCGTTATTCATAGCTTTAATTACAATAATATTAAAATCACGTTATATTTACAATTAGTTATTATATTGGATTATATTATATTATTGGATGCAGCTGCCGTTCATTAATTTTTTGCATTTATAAGTTTCATATACTATCACTCCGAAAACTAAGGTTAATAATAACGGCATGTTTCTATTAGCTGTTTATCTTTTTATTTAAAGAGTACGACTGAAGCCCCATTTTTATACCCGGTGTTCAAAGCTGTTATAAAATCAATTGGCTTCATTTCACGATATGATCTGATTGCATAACAACATTTCGCGGTTCTTGTTATATTTCACTTTATAAAGTGACTTTTAATTAATTTTGTCGGCTAGTTAAGATGTAAACTGTGATGTAAGATTGTATAACGATTGTGTAACGAGAAAGAAAAGCTATATTCGGCACGCCGAAGATTTAATACCCTATTTAGAATCACAGGGAAAATAGTTAATGCTGACCATGGATGTTATCAATCATTCTTAAATTCCGCCCTTATTTCCTAAAAGTATATTCTATATTTTTCGAAAGATCGACTTAGCTTTGCAAGAATCGGTTAAAAAAGAACTTAAGCATTCAAGGTTTTTATTGTTTAGTTACTTAGTAGATGATTAACATTGCTTTACCCCGATCTCGTAAAACGATTGCATTCGGTAACTCAAATACTCTTATTAAATAAAATATAATTCACGATAGAATATTTTCTATGCGCATGATAATCACAGCCCTTACCCACTCCCCCGGCGACATTTATGCCCATCATCCGCATCGTCAGGCGACAAATTGCATTATCAATGTGCTTGGATTTAGCCATGGCCCAACCCTTGACGATACCACCCGCAAAGCTCTTGTGCCCCGGCGAATAAAAAGCTTTGGCAATTCCACGTAATCCACTCCGGGCAAGGAGCAGGAGGCAGCAGGCTGGGGCCGGGATAGGGTCTGCTGCAGCAGCTACCGCCAGGCCGCACAGTGGGCGACGTCATTATAGAGCGACTGATTCGCCGTAGCGTCGCGTAGCGTCGCTTATTAGTTGGCGCAACCAGCGTATGTGGCTGCCGCGGGGCACAATTGGTGGGCTGCCGAGTTGGCTGTAGAGTAGCCCTTAGTGCTCGGCGCTCAGCCCTTTGGTTAAGGTTGCAGCGACTCACACCCAAGAGCAGAAGGCTCGACTTGTGAATGCGATGTCTTGTGGCGCAAATTTGCATGCTTGAGTGGCAATTTCAGCTGTATGGCAATTGCTTTGTTAGGGTATTCAATATTTCATGCGTTTTTGACTTTAGAACGCGATTGAAGTGCATTAAACTGGGTTGCTGGTTAAAGGGGGCTGAGGAATTAGTTTTGATTTGTTTACGCATAAAACTGCGACCGAGTGACAGGCGATCCTCAAAGGCGAACCGAGCTGTCAGCTTGTTTTACTGCTTATATCCGGTCAGCCAGACGTTGAGGGTGTGCGAGGGCGTGCACGTGTGTGTATGCGTGTGTGTATGGGCACTGACAAGAAGTTGGATGTTGCTTTGGGCGACATTGCGACGTCTGCTGGCGTCTATTTGCACAACTTTTTCAACTCATTTCCGTTGCAGTTGTAGACAGTCACCCACACACACACACACACAGACACACACACACACACACTCTTCTTCATCTCAATCTCTCTGCCGCTCTGTTGCTCTTTCCCTCTCGCTCTCGCCTGCTGCTCTGTGCCCAAAATGATTTCTGCAACTGTCTGAAAAGTTTTTACACGCTGCTGCTGCTGCTGCCTTGGCAGCCATTTTTTAGCTGGGGACATTTTGGGCGGCCATTTGGAGTTCTGATGACAAGTTTTGAGTTCATATTTTAACTAACGACTGTCGACACACACACATACACAGACACATATGGAAAATTATAATTTAGTCAACATGGCAAGTTGCCTTTTTTAGTAGCTGTCTTTCTCTCTCTATTCAACTCTGTCTCTTTCTTCCCCGCTCGCTTTCGGAGTCTTTCTCTTGCTAGTTGTGTGTGTTTTGTATGAAAATTGAAGCGTAAAAATTAATGCTTGAGTGCATTTGTGCAAAAGACAAAACACACAAACACACACACACACGAATAATAGACGGAACTGATGACGACAAGCAGCAAGAACAACACACCAAAAATATTGAGAGAGAAAGAAAAAGTGTGGGAACTGAAGCTAGAAAATAAATAGTTCTGGCATAACAAACGTTTTTCCATATCTAAAGAGCAAAAAGAATTGTAAAAAAAAAACTACCAAAAATACTTTTTAATGCATTCCAAGGTATGCAAACAAATAGCTGCATACCTTCAGTGCGGCATTGCGGAAATTAGCAAAAAGTTGAAGCTACAAGTTGCAACTAGGGAAAGTAGCAATTGGGGCAGGTTGTGATAATCAGCTTAAAGGCTACTCCAATAAAAATGTTGCTACTGAAATTTGTTAAATGCAATATGTGTAGTGGCGGTCAAAACGTTGCCATTTCTAGGAATTTCATCTAAGGTAATATAAATAAATAAGCATCTCCGAAAAAATACTTAAAACGCGAGTTAAAAGGGTTTTTGTTTTCGAGACAATTTATTGTTGCTCTCTGATTTTTAAACTTTGTTCGTAAAGAGAAAAATAGTATATTATTTTTTTTAGGATATATTGACTTTTTGGGGACTTTTTGTAGTTAATCATGTTAAAGATATATCCAGTAAATAGTTCCTATCGAAGCTAACAATTGTTTGATCAAACTTAAAAATTGTCAGCTTCATCTTGTTTTTCCTGCCATTTTTTCTTTAAAATGATCCACCTATTTATGCTCTATGTCTAGTCAACATTGCTCCGTCCCACAGTTCAATACAGATAACATCAAAGCTCTTTTGCATATGCCTCTGGAAGCATTTGAACTATCCGTAATTTATTGCGAAATTCCCCAGGGCTTGACCTGCTTCGTAATAATTTTTTTGTTTAGGATTTGATGAAAAACGTCGCTTTGAAGTTGCAGCGAATTTGGGTTTAATTTTCATTTCGTTTGCGGCTCAACAACCCTCGCCAAAAAAAAAATATATATACATTTAGGAAACGTTTATCTAATGCTCAAGATCGCGGCTATGGGATATAGGAACGAGGTGGTGGCAATCCCGGCAATGAGGGTAGGCGTAGCTGGGAACCTGCGTTGTAAGCATTTAACATGCAATTTGGCGCAGCTGCTGTGAAAAATTGAAAAGCCCCGAACCAGAACTCATAAATTGCCATTTAAATGAGGCACAAATGAAAAACGTCAAAGGCGAAGCAGGCAACAAACACACACGCACACGCACCATACATACACACACACACACACACACACACACACACACATACATGTACAGACATAGTCATATGCGAGTGCTTTATGCTTTTAGCCCTGTTATGAGCAGCTACCCGTGCTGAGCCTGGCCTAATGAGTAGAAACAAAGCAATATTTGCCAGCAACGCGCAAAATTCCGTAGCAAAAATTCGCCAAGAAGAAAAATTACGCATGGAAAATGAAAGAAAAAAAAAAGAAACGCCAATGAAAATATTTACGGGCACCAGCCAGTGGTGTGTATGTGTGTATGTGAGAGGGGGAAGGGGTTTGTGCGTTTACTGCCTTCATATGTAGTTTGGATGTTGATCAAAAGGCATGCGGCAAAAGGAACATGCACATAACAAATTAGCATGCATAAAACAACGCTGCCCCTCGCCTTGCCTTGGGGGCGTGTCAGCGGCTCAAATGTATGTACGTGTGTGTCTGTGTATGCACATAAAGCAATATTTATGCTCATGTACGCACATTTTTGGAGTAGTACCAAAGGGCTCTTCCGTTTCTCTCATTCCTCTTTCCAAATTAAGCATGGAATATACTCGTCGCTTTTATTAGAAATCAGCCAAGAAGTAGTACAGAGACTCGGGGTGGGGCTGGGTGGCGAGTTGTTCGCTCTAAGAGATTGATAATGCATGGAGTGGTGGATTGTTTGGCATATATTGCATAAGCAGTCAGCACTTGAGTGCTTTTCGTTACGAATGCTTCGTAATAAAAATTCCACACAAATCATAAGGATTGAAGCTGAAATTAGCAACGACAGTCAACGACTATTATTATACTTCATGCCATAGAACGTGAAAGGTCTTCAAGAAAAATTTCAAAAGAAAATCATTTTCAACTAGCTTTAAATAAAAAAAATTATATTCAACAGTCTTTTAGATATTGTAAGAGAATTATATTTAGAATGGCCCCACTCTGAAGATGATTATAGTTTTTTGAAAAAGTTTTATTAAGTTTAGCTTTTAAATAAAATAGTGGGAATTCGCCATCATCAACAGCATTTATTATCATATTAGTGAAGGAAAAATTATTGATAGATTCCAAATATTAGAGTTGAATTTGAATTGATGTCAAGAGACGTTTACGCTCGTAATCATAAAAGTCAGACTAGCTTGTTCCCACAAGTTCTGAAGAGATACTCGACATATTGCATATTAAAAGTCAGATTGCAAAGCCAACAATCGTATAACTATGCCAACAAAGAGAACAGGAAGAGAAGACAAACTCTGCGGCTGATTACCTGCTGAGATGACAATCAACTGGCCTAAAAGTACGAAGCACTTAATTACAAATTCCAGAGCAGGGCAAAAGTCAAGCGCTGGCAACAAAGGATAAAGAATTAAGGATATGAATTGCCAGCTCAATGATTCCACTGAACGGCAGCTGTCCTGCAGGCTTTGATTAGTTGGCTCAACAAAAAAAAAAAAAAAAAAAGAAGAAAAACTAACGAGAACAAAGCTTCATTATGCACGAGTTGTTGTTGTTGTTGTAGTTGTGGGCCTGGTAACGTAATGAAGTCGCCAGCGCCGGGAAACGCTTCGTTTAAGCGAGCGCCTCAAATTATGCAACAAATACGCAAGCAGCAGCAACTACTTGCATATACAGCGATGCTGAGGGGTGGAGGGGCTGCAGAGGAAGGAATAAAATAAATGTGCATATGAATTTTGAAGAAACGGCAAAGGATACGCGCCTGCTGCCTGCCAGCCAATGCAAAAGTGCACTTACTTACGAACACTAACACACACACATGCACACACGCGCACATGCACACACAGAGTAAATTTATGCTTGTGTTAAAGTTTCTGGTGCGTGTGTTGGCCAAAAGTTTGTGCGCAAAAACTTGAGCAGCAGCAGCTGCAAAAATGTTCAGCACTCACACAAATTA